TCTTCTCTGTGGGCCTTCCCAGCCAATGAGAAAGCCTCACCATGGGGTGAACATCCTCCAGAGGTGAAATGGAGAACCCCAAAGCCAAGCACCTCGCTCCACTGTCAGCCCCAGGAAGGCCCGCGTGAGTTTCCGGCCACTCTTCCCTCTCAGTCCTGGATCGCTGTCTTTGATAGTCACTATTAAGGTTAAACAAAATGTGGAGCCTGGAAGGTGAGGACACCGCTGACAGCTAGGGCTCCACATGGCCATCAAGTGAGTGCAGCAAGCCTGCAGGTGATGAAGTGCTGGCCACAGATCTGCTCACTAAGCTTTTCTGGAAGAAGGATGTAAACAGAACTTAATTTCTAGCAGGTGTCAAAGCATTCGGTGTTAGTTGGTCAGCAACATGTATGGTACGTTCACTTAACCATATACGGGTTTAGCCTTGAGGATCTTGTGAGTGAGTGGGGGAAATAAAATGTATAAGAGTAAGTATAATAATGAGTAGGTGCCTGAGGTAAATGTCATGGGTCTGATATAAAGCAACAGCCACTAGAGCTCAGAAGAATGAGAGGGCCTTGGCGTCATCGAGGAGGGGAGTAAGAGCTTTGGACTCTGATCAGCACTACAAAGAAAGGGCTGGTGTTGTCACCCCAACTGGGTGGTGGGATTACCTTGCCCCGTGAGTTATGGCAGCTCTCTACCCAGGTTAAAAGGTACTTTGCAAGATTGCTTAAGGATATGAATAGCTTTAACCTCCTATTAGTATAAAATTTCTTCTTCCTCCTTTTCCTTGTTTCCACGGATCCTAAAAATCCTGTGCAACAGCAAATCCAGAGGCATTTGAGTGAGTGCCTATGCACATTGTGTTGGGTTTGACTTAGGTCCAGTTCTAATATCCTCAGTGGGCAAGTGAGCCCAGCAAGGGCTTCAGACATGGCCCCATCCGAATGCTCTGCTCCCTTTTCCGTGTAACAATTAGCCATGTGCCGGCAGTCCTTTGCAGAGCCACGGGTACACCATCAGATTCCCAGCCTGGGGGCCAGTGGTCTCAGCCACTCTGTCACTCCTCCAGCAGGAGAGCAAGCCCAGGCCTGAAGAGTGCTTCTGGATCTAAGAAGCCATGGTGGTTCACTGTCATTTCCCTGACCTCGGACTTTTCTCTTTGGTGAGAATTTGGAAGAGTAGAGTCCTGTGGCTCCTACATGGCATCATAGGCATTTGTAAGATCATTAGTTAGAAGAAGAAAAGATTAGATAAGAAGGGAAATGAACTCATTGAAATTGTTAGTGTTTTGATAGCGTGGCTCTTCCAACCATTTTTTAAAAAGGCTTGCATTCTGTCCTTCCAAAAGATTTTGAGGTAGATTACAATATTTAAAAGACTGCAGTGTTTGACTTTTAAGGGATAAAAGCAAAGAGATTCGTCCAGAAGATTCAAAATGAGTAAATATGACCAAATATCTGGATATACACTTTTAACTTAGCCATAAGGTTCACGAAAGGACAAAAAAGCAATAGCCTCGGTTGTATAGATTTAATTTTCCGACAAAGCAGAGTATATGTTCACCAGTACAGTTTATGGGACTTGATTTTCTTTGGGGGCACCAGGGAGTCACTCTCCATGTCCTACTGTTTAGACTCTCTGGCGACAGCACTGGCTAGTCTTAGGCCCTTCTTTCAAGGGAGGAAGCACCTGGGTGTGGTGGGAGGGGCCCTCAGGCCATTGGACCATAGGGTGGGGGAGTTGTTTGGCATGATCCCTTGTTAGAATCACTGTGAACAGTTAGTCACTGCTCAGTCACAGCTAATCTAATCACTTCTTTTGTCTGTCTTTTTTTCTTCTTCCCATCTCGTTTTTGTGTTTGTTTTTCACTTTGATTCTGTAGTATAAATCTGTGTTTAGGTCCTACTCCCAGGATTTCGTGCCTCACAACCAAGCTTCCGTTCAACCTTTCCTTCCGTCTACCTCCTCTTCCTCTCCACATTTCCTGCCTGTCCACCAGTCTCAGAGCTCTGACTTAGCGGTGCCAACCGTAGCCAGCCCGCCTTCCAGCACCGTGGACGGGCCTCTTTCATCCTCTCAGGAGAGCAGCTTTCATGGGAACACTGTCTGCCTTCCTTCTGAAACCTCTTTCACTGACTCGCCCCAGACGCCTTTGGTGAGAACTCAAAAAACACACCTTCACGTGGGGCTGCGTATTTGTTTAGAAAGCAGTATCACTGTTCCTGAAAGACATCCCCCTCTCCCCTTCATGACAGTCAGGTCTGTTGCTGGTATGTGCAGTTCAGCATGACTGGACTTCACGTGTATGAGGGCTACAGGGCAAAAAGTACATAGTAGCCTGTCTATATTCAGAACAAATTGAACCTTCTATATAAAGTTCCCATCAAACTAGGAATCTGATGCATTAGTGACAAATGAGCTAGTGACCAGTTAAACACAATGATCATAAGCATAAGATAGAAAATTGCTACTAGTTTTCTGTGTTTGTTTGCTTTAGAGAAATGTATAAAGACGTGTGGAAGTGTGCAAGTGACAAAGATCAAAGGAAGTTGCATATTGAGTTGCATGTGGTGCTGAGGATCAAGGGCCTGGTTTCCTATTAAATTGCCAGTAGTACTTCATCTGGGCACAGGGAAGTGTCACTTGCAGGTTGACGTGGACAACAAGATGGGTCAGGGGCACGCAGGCAAATGGGGCCTAACTTCGCAGAGTGTGGAGTTGTCTTGATGTGCTGCTGCTTTCCCGTTCCTTGGTTGCCATCTTGCACAGCACTGCTAGACCCCGCTACAGTGTAGTATGCTTTCTCAGGATGGTTTGAATGGTCCTTGATGTCTTTGGAGAAGAGCCAGCAGGAAACTGGGGTCCCCTCTAACATAGAGGCAGGAGGTGGCGAAGCAGCTTTGTTCTCTGGCCCTGAGGGCAAGCTTCCTAAGGGGAGCAGAGCACACGCTGTCACTGGCATGTGGGCACGCTATAAAAGGAGCATCTTGGTTGGGGCCAGCCCTTTGGCTGCCCTCTCTGAACCTTGAGGACGACTAGAGGGCTCGTCACATCTGTATTTCCTCTCATCCTGTCTCCCCTAGAGTGAAAACACCAGTGAGGAAGCTGGTGAGGGTGAATACGTCAATCTGTATTCCTCTGGCCAGAGCAACGAGGAGCTCCCTCACTCTCGAGGAGTAAGTAACCCTCGGCAGGAGGGCGCAGCCCTAGTGCTGGCTGCCTCGTGCATGTGGCCTGGCCAAGGTTGGGCCCCTGCTCTCCTAAGGCCACTTCCCTTGACCTGCTTCTGTTTGGCTGAGCAGCCCAGCCACTAGCAGACTAGCCTTCTACAGCCTTTAGGAAGCCAGCTCGGCTCAGGGGGAGAGAACGTGGCTTCCTGGTGGTGGTCTTCCCTTTGCTTCTGCTTCAGTGCGTATGTGTGACACCTCCTCAAAGCCTGGCAGGATGGGTCTTCTGGAAATCTACAAGGAGCATCCTTGGCATTGGCCCTGGCCATGTATCCAGCTGCTCTCTGTGGGATTTCTTTCTATCCCATCCACTAGTCTTGAGCTCCGTCTTCCACCCCTCACCCAGAGTGAGGAGCTCTTCCCCACACCAAGCCTTCCAAATCCTCATTTCCTGTTCCAGCATGCTCCATCACTCCTATATGATTGCTTCCAAGGAAGCTAGGTGAGTCTGGCAGAGTAGCCCCTGCCACGTTTATGCATATGTCCCTCATGAGAGTGAAGAATTATTTGATGTCATCATCCTCATTATATTGCTGCCCCAACTCTCAGCAGTTGAGGTTCACTTTCCAGGTCTTGCTGTAGTAAAACATGAGCAAGTTCCAAATATTCAAAAATAACTTTCTACCACCAGCCTGAATGGAACAAGTTGCTTGAAGGAGAGCTGCCGTGGGAACTTGAGTCCTCCACAGCTGGATCCTCACAGGTTCTTTGATGTCTACACAGCAGGCCCAACTTCAGACCTTAGCAGTTGTGGAATGTTGAGGAATTTTCACTCTAGTGGGGTTTCACCCAGTTTGTGGGGAGTTAAGCTGTTTCTCTCCACCTTGCCCATTCCCCCTAGGGACCAGTACCCCAGCATCATCCAGCTCAACCTCAGCATGACAGAGCCCAACCAGGCTCGCTTTCCTTGGCTTCCCCTCTACCAAAGACTCATTTCAGCACCGACTTTTCCTTTACCTTGAAGTGTTCTCCACTGACAATGTTCCATGTACTCATGCTGCCCCCATTCTCCATCATTGCCTCGGTGGCAGACCAGGAGCGTTGGAGGGCCATGTTGTCACTGAGTAGGGTCAACCTAGAGACCTGAGAGCAAGTGAGGCTGCGGTGGAGGAGAGGGAGTTTGCGCTCATGACTAGACTTTGTCGAACTCTAACTGAAGAGTGACTCAAGGGGAGACCTGAGTTTGCTTTGGTTCGGCACTACAGTACTGAAGACTTCCTTTAACTCGAAAGTCAGCAAAGTTTACTACGTGATAGCAGGGCACAGTGGTTAACGCACAGGCTTTGGAGGTAGACAACTCTGGGTTTAAGTTCTGCCATTTACTAGCTGTGTGGTCCTGGGTAGGGCCCTTAACTTCTTCAGTCCTCTGTTTCCTTATGTGTGAAGTGGGGGTGATGATGCTAGCTAACTGATAGGGTCTTTGTAAGAATCAAATGGGAAGATGTTTGCGAAGCCCTCAGCACAGTGCCTGGCTGAGCTTTGGATAGGTAGTAGCTATTTGATAGTCCTCTTTCTTCTAGGAGATGGTCAAGAAGGCTTCATCTAGGTTGGCAGCTGACAAAATGTTATAAATAGTGGCACCATTTCACCCTCCAAAGACAAGATGCTAGTCTCAAGAGGTCCTTGTGTTTCCTGTGTAGTTAACCACATTCGTCATTAACTTGTTCACATCTCGGATTGCTCCATAGGAACTTGCACTCAAAAACCATTTCAAGGCAGGAATGCTGGGAAGACAGATCAGCCCCAGCATGGGCACCTGTCAAAATTCAAACACTCTCTTTTCAGGAATCACCAGCTGTGAAAGGTGGACATCCCAAAGATTCCTCCTCAGTTGGCGGTGCACCTGGGAAGGAAAACAGAGAAGGCCGTGAAAGGTAGGAGTAAACCACATGGAGCCGTGTCCTGCCTGCTCCTCTCGCCCCGTGGTCCCTCTAAGAGCAGCCCTCTGCTCACCAGGGCCTGGATTCTCAAAACAATACATGCCCAGCGCAGAAAATTGAAAGTACAGAAAACTACTAGAAAATAGGAAAAGCCACTGATAATTCTGCCCCTCAAAGGCCTTCATTCTAATCTGTAGTCTGCCATTGCTTCTTGATTATCTATACATGCATCATCCACCTTAAAACAGTGTTGTCTTTTCCTAATCCCAAACCAAGCTTCCTCAATCTTTTCCAAGGTGAAGTGCAGTGAGGGAGTGTAGAAGTCCCTTGCCCCAGCTTTTTATTGTGAAAGGTTTTGTGTGTGTATATTTTGTTGCTAAAGCACTTGAAAGTAAGTGACAGATATTGTGACACTTTGCCCCTAAATACTTCAGCATACCACTTTTAAAAAATACTTTTTAATCCTACTTAATTACAAAATTACAATACCATTATCAAACCTAAGGAAATGAACAATAAATTCCCTCATATCATCTAATATGTAAACCATGTTCCAGTTCCCCAATTCTCCCAAAAATGTTTTGCATAGCTTATTTTTTTGAAACAAGATCAACCAGGAGTTGTGTATTGCATTTAGTTATATCTCGTTAATCTCTTGTAACATTTTTCAACATTAGCAGAAGTCAGTCCTTACCAGGTTTAAAAAATACATAGTAATTTTTCCCAGTATGCAGTTACAAAATCTGCGAATCTACACTCCTACCTGTAACTTCGTGTGACCCTCACCTTCACTGTAAAATGTTCACTTTTTAGGCCAAGCTTTTTCTCCCTTCTTTAGGCCAAGCTTTTTCTCCCATCTTTAGGCCAAGGTTCAGCTACCTCTGTAATCCTGGGTGCTCTCAGCAGAGCTAAGCAGTGCCTGCTTGCCATTCATTGTCAGGCCTAAGCATGAACGGTTGACAGGGGGTAAAAGTAGCAAGAGAAAGAAAAGGAAGGAAATTAGAAATCATTTTCTAGGGTCCCTTTGAAGAGGACACCCACCCAGCCTGCCTCTTTGCCTCTCTTTGGAGCCATCCACATGAATCTGCCCCAGCCCAAGGTTTTCCCAAGTGTAAAGCCAGAAATGGTGGGTTTTGTATGTTTAACACCTAGTGGCAAAGGGTGTGTGCACCAAGCAAAAGCAATTTGTTTGCTCTGTCTCCAGCTTCATTGGACCCAAGAGTGTCATTTTCAGAGTCCCAGCTGGTCCTTATGAAGGGTAAACACATTGGCTAGTTACAAACAATTACTGGGACAGTGCCCTCTGTCCACAAAGGCCAAGCTGCAGACGGGTGTTGACAAGACAGGGTGGTTCCTCCCAGGCCTGGGAATGGTCCTGCACATCCATCTGTCTTCTCTTACTAAAGGCATATATCTTTAGTGTCAAATACTCAGGGTCAAAAATGTGGCCTGCTTCCACAAAGCTGATCAGTGCCTCACAGGATCTGCCACAGAATCCTAAGAATAAAACGGGAATATAGAAGAAAAAGCAAGGCATTTTCAGCCCGAACTTTGTTCTACTCCGTAGAATGGCCCAAGCTGCAAAGCTTGTCTTGGATACCTCCCAGCCTTCCCACATGCTCCCTGTGAGGGAATGTTCTCTCCCTTCTTCACTTGGCAAGCCCCAGTGCAGTGCCTCAAGTCTCAACTTGTTTGTCCCATCCTAGGGGGCCTCCCTGGCCCCTTACACTAGGCTAGGTCCACTGCTTGTGTTCCTTGTAGCGTTCTGCACTTCCTCTTTCATCGCACCACAACTGCTTGTTTTAATGTCTGTCTCTACTGCTAGACTGAGCACCGTGAGGACAGGGGGCCGGCCACATCTGCTTTGTCGCCTGCTGCTTCTCAGTGCCACGCAAGGGTCTGATGGAGAGCAGGCCTCGGAAAAGACAAGGAATTGCATTGAGATTGTTGCTAACTTGGCTCCCACTTTCCTCCCTTCTTGCTTGCCTTTTGCTCTTCCTCTCCTTAAATACCGACTGTATATACAGTGGGCGTTGGCAAAGAATGACTGAAACCATCACTTTTTTAAGTAACTCAGTCAGTGGAACCTTTTTCATTCCTTCTGTTTACAGAGGGACATCCAGAGAGAGAGTAGGAAGTGTCCCCAGGTCACACAACTCATTGGCAGCCACATTAGAAATCCAGTTCACACCTTGGCTCTGTCCACTGCTCTGTCCTGCTATGGTCGGCTGGGAAGCATGTCTGGGCATCAGTTTTAAGTGCAGTTCAGGGCAGACTTGTTCAGAGGGGCTGGAGAAGCTCTCCACGTATCTGATATGTAGTTTCCCTGGGTAGGGCCAGCACTCCCTCTGTCCTTAGGGCTTCGTGAGTCCAGGGGCCCACTTTGACACTTGTAACACAAACCACTTCCCCTTCTAGGATGCCAAAATCACCAGATGCTCTGGAGGTGGCTCAATCAGAGGAGGAAGTGGATGAGCTGTCCCTGATTGACCACAATGAAATTATGGCAAGGTTGACACTCAAGCAAGAGGTAAGTACTTCACAGGTCTTAATTTTATAGGGTCTGGCCCTATGAAGAGGGAGCAAGGAGAGCTTTGAGAAGAATGGGACCTTAAGGTGTCTCACACAGAATAGATCCAAGCTGAGTGTTGCAGCCAGAGCTGGCCAGTCCTCCCAGCCAGAGCTGGGCAGTCCTCCCAGGAGATGTGCCCAGATTGTGGCCCGTGGAGGTGGGGCTCTGTGCGTCTCGGTATCTCATCCTGGGTTCTAAGAGATGTTGGACAAATGGATGAATTCCAGGAGAAAGTGTACTGCCCCGTCTCGATCTTCTCAAGAGTGGTGATGGGCAAGTTACATAACACATCCAAAGCCTCAAATGGTGCAGCTCTTGGGGTCATTATGAAAATGTATCCATGTAAAGTATTCAGTACAGAGCCCACATGTGTACGCATCATTGTGTTATTAAGATAACCCCACTCCAGTTTCAGCATGGGAGACACAAACTAATCAAGAAAATTCAGGTCTGGACACTGGTTTGTCCATCCTGTGCCTTGTCAAGAGAGCCTTATTGGGGAAAACAATCCCCAAACCTGTCACAATAAAAAAGGTGATCCTGAAAGAGCCCCTGGTCTTTCTTATGCCATATGATTCTGGAAACACAAAGGAATGGCTTAATAAAATAGCCTTGGCACACCCCTGAGGAAGTGACTGTTTCTGGGCTCCAATTCCATGACACACACACACAGGCACATGGGCAGGGAGGCAGACATTGTCCCTTTACACACTACTGGGCCAGGCTGAGCTAGCCCTGGCCGTGGTGGAGAGCACATGGGGAAGGTACTGGCCCCTCCACCTGTCAGCAGGAAGGGCTGGCAGACTGTTCCTTGAAGTACTGATGGGGGCACTTGGGAAGCTGGGCTCCTCTCCAGAGAGAAGTGATGTTTCATGACCCTTGCCAGGAATGTTTTCTGAAAAATTAGGTCATGAGCATAGCCACGCCCCCCCCCCCCCCCCCCCCCCCCCCCCCGGGAAATCCAAGACACTTTCAGGACTCTGGAGTCCGGGGATAAAAACACCCAAGTGCCTAAAGAGGCAAGTGTGTCTCCCAGAGTGTGTGCTGCAGACAGAGGGGGCTGACAGGTGTTTGATTACGTTTGCTTCAGAATTACAAAGCGAGGGCCAGGCCTGGCAGTGTGAGGCCTGTGGTTCCATTTCTAGCCCTGGTGACAACTCTTTTTAACTCCAGTGCAGGTTTATGGGTTCATGCCTCGGTTTGCCCACATTAAAAACAAGTCTTGCTCCTTTCTTGTCAGGCAGCAGCCAGTGGTCACATAAAGAATGTCAGGTGTAGTTGGACGTCTTTGTAACACTTTACACTCCTCCACTGAAGAGCTCCATGGAAGAACCTGTGTTATAGCTACAAGTGACTTCTCTTTCTGCGCAGAAAACAGGGATTTAGATTTAGGGCAACTTGCTGCAGTTTTAGGAACATGAACATACATGGAAATAGTCCTACTGCCTCCATGGTCATCCTGGGAGAGGCTGATGGGTGATCCTGTCTGCCTCCCAGTGGGGGCCCACAATCCCAGTGTGTGAGAACATCCCACCTGTCCTCTCTGCCCCATGGGCTGGTGAGCAGGGAGAGGTTGAGCAGCACTATTTCTCCCTAACCCACTCATGCCCTCAAAGGAGTGATCTGTGCCCTGGTGCCCATGTTGCCTGGGCAGCTCTCAGGGCCCATCACTTCCCAGATTAGGTTCTAGTCTGCTCCTGAATGCTGACCACATAGCATTGGGTGGGCTGCAGCATGGCCACTCCACTCTGGGGTGTGGAGACCAGAGGGAAGGGGACTTGGAGTCTCTTCAGTGCACTCTATTGTCTCATCCTTGCCTATTCCTTCCAGACCGACCTTCTTAAGGCTGCGCTCTGCCTCACGCCCTCCTCTGCTGTTTTCATTACAGGGTGACGACGGACCAGACGTCCGTGGAGGATCTGGGGATATCTTACTGGTCCATGCTACTGAGACAGACAGGAAAGGTATGGCAGCCCCCACTGTTGTGGCCTTTGTCTGTGGTCAGAGAGCTCACTGGATGGGGGCCGACACTGCTGTCTCCTGGCAGCCAGCCGCTGCGCGGTTCTCAGTGGCGCTCCTGGTCCAGCAGGCCCAGAGTAGGGAGAACCGTTTTAGGAGACAGGCCAACGCATGTCAGGGTCCTCTGCTGTAGGCCTGCTCCGAATCTGCCCCCTGGTCCTGAGGTGTGTGCCTCACAGGATTGTAAGGAGGTGAATATCAGCTGCAAAGCCCAGCTCACAGTGAGTGTTCAATAAATGGTAACTTGAATAACATGTTGAATTATAATACTAAAATTAAAATTATCTGTGGGTAGGTTTTTATGCTTTTCCTGATGTATGGCCCATTAAATTATCCTAACCCTACTAGATTGGGTTTAATTCACGTACTCCGATAGGAGAAATCCTGAAAAAAAGTTTGCTCTATCTAGGAACCTCCAATTTACTAAGAGTGCTATCAGCTTTCACAGGATGAAGCTCTCACTCCTGAGCCTAGAGCTGCCCCTTCCTCACCATTCCACTGAGCGCCCTGAGAGTGTGAGAGGGTTGGAAACTCGGGGGATGTCCCTTAAACCTTGTAGTATAGACTCTGTGCTAGCACACTAGCTATCATTCCAAGACATGTTCTTGAGGGAGGGCAAGGACGAGGGACTGTGAGGAGAGTGAGCGTGGAAGGAAAATGCCGTGGTCTGGGGTAGGCAGGGCAGTATTCAAGGAGCTGGAGCATGGCCAGGCTGCTGCGAGCCGGTCCTCCACCCACTAAGCCGGGGTCTGTCCCGGCTCGTCGTCCTTTTATATATATTTTTTTTTACTTATTACGAAGATAATATAACAATAATGTTAAAGTAAATTTTGGAGGGAATAAAAACACCGTGACCTTGAAACCTTAATCCAACTAATTTTCTTTTTGTAAACGACCTTGCCTGTATGTTTTTACAGGAGATTTCCCAAAGTGTGCTAACACAGAGCAATTCTGGAAAGTTCTGAATTGACAGTTGAGTGAAAAAGATGAAAATTTGAAAGCTAGAGAAAAAAAGGCTTCTACAGACTCACGGCCGCCACTGTTAGGCCCTTGGAGTTTCTTCACACCTTAGACGTGCTCTGGGGGCCAGCCCAGTTCTGGAGTCCTTGAGTTCAGATCCCAGCCATGCCCTTGGTAGGCTTGGGCAACAGCTGGGCACATCCCTGCCCTGCTTGGCCTCAGCTGACTCAGCTTGGTGAAGAGGTTACAGTGCCCATCTCTCAAGTCAGTGTGAGGATTAAGTGAGATAACATGAAACATGTCTGGCATATAGGAAGTGCTCAGGAAATACTCCTTATCTTTAAGAACAAGTCCTTGCTCTGGTTTTCTGCAGTAAATCCTACTTCATGCCTGATAAATCAGAGCTCAGTCCTCAGCAGGGCATAAGAAACAGTCTTCATTTTATTTTTTGTCCAAAAAGTGAGAGGCTGATTTGGGAGCTGGCTCCAGCCCTCGGCTCTGAAGCATGAACTCTACCGTCCTGCCACATGGAGCCAGCCGTGGCTAAGGCCCGAGGCCGAGCCCTGCAGGCTGGGCAGCCTGAGAGCCCTCAGTCTGTGCCGAGGCTGCGTCTGCTGAGAGGAGGCTCTGCTGCCGGCCAGAGCTTCCATTTGATTTTATTAATAGAGAGATGAGAAACTCCATGAGACCAGAGTTTTTATACTTAGGCAGTATTGCTGAGGCAGAGTCCCGGGGCTAGACTGGAGGAGGAGGCAGGTAACAAAGCAAAAGCAAGCTCCTTGGGCAGGTGGTTTCCTGCTGCTCAGAGACTGCACCAGTGACACTCACCCCTGGGAGGCCCCAGGGCTCAGAGATGTCTGGAACTCAGGCATCCAGAGCAGGGCTCGGCCCAGATGAGCCCCAGTGGATGGGAAGTGCTTTGTCATGTGGAAGGCTCTGCTCTCGGGTAGCATATTATCAGAAGCAGCATGGTAGAGGGTGAAGCTGAATTTGGCCTTCTCAGACCTCAGTTCAGATTTGGCTCCTTTCTGCATGAACTGTGTGTGCCAGGGACGTCACTCAGCCCTCATGGGCTTCCATTTCCTCATTAGGAAAACTGGGGATGATAAGACCTTCCCTTCCAGGGTTGTCATGAAGAGCAAGCGTGCCAGGGTAACAGAAAGTACTCTGGGACGTATAAAGAGGTATGTGAACATTAGAAAGTGTGGCGCATCACTGCTGTTACCAAAAACCAGGTAGCACCCTGTTTACCATGTCCCAGGGCACAGCAGATGGGTAAGAGCTTTAACCTGGGTGCAAACCATGATACCACTGCTTACATATTTTGTGAACTTGGGCTCATTACTCCCTTTCTCTGGGCCTGGGATTTCTTGTCTCTAAAGTGGGGGTAACGGTAGGCTCTGCCCCTCATGAAGCTGCTCTGGGCATACTGGGTTGTGGTGTGGGGACTGAGAATGGCTAGGTGCTCACCAGCAAGCCTGGGACATATCCTGTGAGTGGTCACCATGGCCACTGGCAGCAGTGAAGATAGCACCCCACAAAGAAGTGCAGACTTGGCTCCATTTTTCCGGAAGTAGGCCTTGGTCTGTGCTGATTCCATCTCTGCTTCCTTGCCCAGCACTTCCTTGAACGAAATCCCAAATTTGAGAGACAGCTGGGTGGGGTTGAGGGTCCAGAAAGAGTCTGAGCATATGCTGTTGGACTCTGCTGTGATTTCAACCTGTGAGCTTCCCTCACACCACCTGCTCTCCCCAGCTGGACCCAACGCCACACGGGCCTCCAGATGCAGGAACAGGTGTGAGTTTTCCTCTTTCATCTGGAGGTGATCTAGGGTGAGCATACTGGTGCATCTGTGCCACGCCAGTGCAGCCTCGCTGCTGCTGCCTGGCAGGGAGCAGACACCCCACAAATTGGAGGAGGAATGAGAGAAGATAGAGGAAGGTGACCTTTGCCCAAAAAGGAAAATTTAAATTGTATGTGTGTGCACATGCATGCTTGGCCTCATGGTTAAGAGCACAGACTTTGGAACCAGATCTGGATTCAAAGCTCTGTCACGTCATAACTCTGTGAAATTAGCAAGTCTAGCCAGGTCCTTTGTCTCACAGAGTGTCCTGCCATTTAAAAATTCCATTTCTTTTTTCTTTAATGCCAGAGACAGCATGGTTAGGAGGGTCACAACAGCAAATAAACAAGGGGATGTCATGATTCCAGAGGGGTTGGGAATCCCTGGCTAGAATTAGCTCCTCCAAAGAGAAGGTGAAGGGGTGGGTGTGAGCTGCCAGCCCAGGTCTGTGCAGTGGCCTGTCCTCTCGTTCTTTCCCGCCCCCAACTGCTGGAGCCATGCTCCTAGCAGTTGACCTTCCACCTCCTTGGTGCCTGAGGGTGCCCACATGTGCATTCCAGCAGCATGCCAGGCTATGCCTCTTCAACCTTTTCTTAGGACTCGCAATAAGTGGAATTTCCCAAAATTTTTGCATTACTGGACCCTTCCATCTAAGAGTACTATCTATAATTTAGCTTCAAAACCCTCTGACAAGTTTGAACTAATTTTCTCTATGAGTATGATGATTATGACCCTTCGAATCATCAGCTCTTGGAACAGACAGGAATTTCTCTGTCTAATCTAGGGGAGCAGGCATGCTGCCAGTCTTTATCCCTTGCCAGTGGCAGACATTACTAATCAACTGAAGTTCTCTTTCCCACTGGTGCCCGCCCTGGCCTCAAAATCTACTGCAGCTTCATTCCCAAGCCAGCTGCTGTCAGTCAAGTAGAGTGTGCTTGCAAGATGAAACCCGTTTGGCTTTTTCTGACTGTGATCACCCTCTTATTTGAGAGATGTAGAGCTGAGTCCCGAGAGGACCGGTGACTCTCTGGGACACACAGGCAGAGGGCACGGAGAGTGGGCTTCTAATCCCCTTCCCACTGCTCTTTGCACTCCCCCACCCTGCCTCACCTGCCTCTTTGAGCAAGGACTTGTCTTTGAGGATTTCCCAGCTCTTCTCTGGCCCAGGGTCATCCACCCCCCAGCCCTCTGTACCTTCACTAATTGACTCCTTTTGTTCTTCTCCTCTAGACTTGGTGTTGTACTGTGAAGCCTTCTTGACAACCTATCGGACCTTCATCACCCCTGAGGAGCTCATCAAGAAGCTGCAGTACAGATATCCTTCCCGGCGCACTGCCTCAGCACCCAGCCCTCAGCCCCAGGACCAGCCGCACTGGCTCAGCCCTCCTGCAAGGGGGCCAGGTGGTCATGTGGGGCAGCAGCGTGATGTGGGGATGTTGGAGTCCAGCAGACCAGGGTTTGCATACCTACTCTGCCATATCCCAGCTTTGGGGTCTTGGGCAAGGCTTCCTCTCTGAATCCCACTTGCCTCATCTTTGAAAGAGTCGAGTGAAATTGTAACAAGTGCCTGGAACATAGTCAGGGTGTGCTGCCTGATGGCACTTGTTGTCAATGGGTGACTGAAAAGGACTTAACACATCCTGGAGAGGGAGGGAGTGTGCAGGCTGCTGCGGAGACCGGCTGGGGACTTTGCTCAGCATGCACCCATCCCTGTAGGTGGGCAGCCCTCAGAGCTGCAGCCCAGGGTGTTGGGGTGATGGATATCAAAGTGTGTGAGGCTTGAGGGAATCACAGTTCAAATGGACAGTCTCAGGGATAGGTACAGACCAGCAGTGAACAGTAACACCACAGCCCCAGCTAGAATCGATCCCTGTTGCCTCTACCACATCTGCCTACAGGCTCACACTTTGGTAAACAGCACTTCCTGCCATAGCAGCCACGGGAGCCCCTGGGAGCTTGGATGGACCCACTTGCGTTACCTCTTCCCTTGGGTCCAAACCTGTCTACCTGGAGCTACTGGTCCAGAAATGGGGGTGGCCCGGGATCCTCTGCTCCTTGGCTGTCTCCCAGCATCATAGTCCACCACTGCCGCCTGCTGGACAGCTGCTGTCACTTCGGGGCAGGAAGTCCTGGGGCTTCCCCAGCTCCGCTGCTCTAGGGTCAGTGTCTCCATCCAGACCTTTCTGCCTGTTCCTTCTCCCCTTGTCCTCCTCCCTTAGATTTCCTGATCTATCAAGGCTCAAGTGGAAAGTTCCCCTTTGCAGAGACTTAGATTTCCTCCAGCTTCACATGTTCTGTTACTCAAAGCACCTACCACACAGCTGGCTCAGTGAATATTAGAAATTTGCACTTACTGAGAACATGCTGGCCTCAAGCATGATGCTAAGCATTTGCATGTGCAGTCTCACTCAGCCACAGCACCGTGATCTTGGTACCATTATGATTTCCTGTTATGTGATTGAGGAGACTCAGGCTCAGAGAGGTGAAGTAGCTGACCCAGGTGGCTGGTGGGTGGGCTAATGGCCACACCCCAAGCTCTGACTCCAGTGCTTAGGTTCTTAACCTCTGCCCTGCCTGGCTGCTTCAGGCTGTGTTAGTGGAAATGTCGTAGCATCTAGCTCCTGGGCATGCTGGCTAGTGAGCCCTCTGTGCTGTGTGGAGCATGCTGGTGCACTGCCCCCCGTCCTGAGCGCCGTGACATAGAAGATCATGGATCGCTAGAAAGCAGGCAGGGTGCAGTCAGAAGTGTGGACCCTAGAGGAGGAGCCAAGGTCTTCAGGTGGGTGAAGGGCTACTGTAGAGAAGAGGGCACAGGTGTGTTCTTTGGTGCTCTGGTGAGGCATTAGGAGATGAGAGCCCCTTCTCCCTAGGAGAGTGGCCAATACACAGCTGGCCACAGGACCAAGGAGGTTCCTGCAGAGGCTCTGGTTGCGAGCAGCTATGTACAGAATGATCTTAGAATGTAAACTCACACAGAGAGTCTGGAGAAAGACATCTCTGGTTTATAAATCTATTAGGGTGTTTTGTTTTTGATCACCTTTCCCTTACCTGAGGCTCACAGGAAACTGGATTAAACTGCATAGAAAGCCAGGCCTGGATGATAACAGTAGAGACGGTTCTGAAGGCAGGAGAGGGTAGTGGTGAGTGTAGTCTTTGGGGTTAGGCAGATTTGGACTCACACCCCACTTTGCAGCCCCAGGCCTTTGCATAGTCCTTCAGCATCCCTGTGCCTACATTTCCAGATGAGAAAGCCTTACTCATAGGGCTCCTGGCACATGGTAAGCACTCAGTGAGTAGTAGCTAGAAGTTAATCCCCACATTCACCCCCCACCACATGAGGATTGGCGGTTTCTTTAACCCATGCTCCACATATGAGAAATTTTCTCCCTTTGCTGACACATTCAAGAACCGTGTCAGCAAGAACACGTTCTTCGTGCTGGTGAGAGTGGTGGATGAGCTGTGGTGAGTGCTTTCGCCAGCAGGGATCCTGGGGGGAGAAACTCAAGCCTGTGGGGTGGTGTGGACTTCCCTGCTTCTCCTAGGGCATGTGCCAGGGCCCTGCCTGCCAGCACCGGACAGGGCTTGCTCTGGCCTGCTTTTACATGAATTCAAACCCCTTCTCAGCCCCTTGAGAGAATAAACTGTCCCCCTTAGAGCAGAGTGAAGAATGTTACTAACCCAAGCCTGGGCCCTGGATTTTCTTGTGGGGTGTACCCTAGACTAGGCTAGAACCTGCCCCGGGGCCATCCCTCCCACCCCGGCTTAGGACAGAGTCCACAGTAGGTCGTGCTCTTAGCCACTAGCAGTGTTGGAGGCTAAGTGGAGTCTAGGCTGGGGTGGAGGCAGCAGCCTCACCCTGCCTCCTCAGCATTTCCATAGCGATCTCTCGGCACCTCTGACGTGCACTTGCCGTTTCCATACATTTGACAAATATAAATTGAGTGGGTCCTTGTACTAGGTCTGGAGAATCAGTAGTGAGCAAAATAGGCCCTGCCTTCAAGGCACGGACAGTGACCTCAGTCAATGAGTGTACAACTGGGACATTGTAATACATGGTAAGTGCTAGGTAGAGAAAGTTGGGGTGTGCCTCAGGCAGGCAGCCGTCCCAAGGTCTTTTCCTTACTCTCTTCCCACATGGGGTTTCCCAACTCTGTGTTGATCACAGCCCTGTGGCCCTTTGGAATTTGAGTTGAGTCCCAGACTCAGTGGCTGGCAGTACTTTTCCTGGTTCTTGTGATCCTGCCCTTCACCTTGTGGCCCTTTGGCCCTTTAGCCTAGTGGAGTTGACAGAAGAGATTTTGAAGCTGCTGATGGAGCTGGTCTTCCGCCTGGTGTGCAATGGGGAGCTCAGCCTTGCCCGCGTGCTCCGGAAGAACATCCTGGACAAGGTGGCCCAGAAGAAGTTGCTCAAGTGTGCCAACTCCGACCAGCCCCTGGCGGCCAGGGGAGTAGCAGCCAGGTGAGGAGCTAGCCACATGGCCATGAGTTCTGACCCAGGCCCAGCCCCCCACAGGTGGGAGCTCTCTGGGCCTAGACTTTGGCCTGCTTCTCCAACCCCCGCCTCCTCTGGCAAGAGGAGTCCCCAGTAGCAGCCCTTTTATTCCTCTTTCCTCAGTTTACCTTCCCTCCCTCCTTCCCAGCCCCACAGCCTCACCTCCTGTGATGAGGTGCCTCTGGGATAGCCCCGTGGGTTTTCCCCATGAGCTGGGGCTTTTCTCTGGGAGGCGTATTTTGTGTGATGAGTCACCTTCTTACTAGGAAATGAAGTGGCGGGGGGGTGTTGGGGGGTTTAATAGGACAGGAAGTAAATGAATAAGTTCCTGGCTGTAGTCAGCCCTTGATTATCTTCATGGCACTAACGAACGTGGCAGTTATTAATTCTAGCCCAGCCTCCTTGTGCCATCCAGAACATTCCTAAGACTTTGTATAAGATTTTACATCTGTTGCCTGCCCTTTCTGCCCCACTCCCAAGGTGAATTTTAATTTCAGATGTAAATGTTTGTTGACTTATCAGCTCCTTGATAATGAGCATGTTGGCTCCTTTATATGGCAATATCTCCGTTCCCACAGTCATCTCATTGGCACTGACCACCTAGAAGTGGGGTCAGGCTGTGAACGACAGACAGTTCTTGGGCACCTGAACTGTCCGTGCACTCAAGAGGAAAGCTCAGTCTCCCCAACTCCTGAAGCTGAAGGGGACACAGCAGAGGAGAGAGGAAGTTGGATGGCATTGTCCCAGGAAAAGCACTGCCCTGGTCTGGTCCTGTTTGCCACTGAACTGCTGTGTGACCTCCAACAAGGCCCTGATGTTGCCCGCTCTCCTGTCAGGAAGTGAGGCTTGGGGTGCAGCTCCTTCAATCGTCTGCAAGTACAGCGCTGGCTCAGCTCCCCTGACTACTCTTCTCGCACCTTCTGTCTTTCAGGCCAGGGACCTTGCATGACTTTCACAGCCATGAAATAGCAGAGCAGCTGACACTGCTAGATGCTGAGCTCTTTTATAAAATAGAGGTATGGTGTTCAGGAGGGACAGGGTGCTGGGGGAGTAGATTTGTGCAAACACTGGGGCTGCCCCACCCCGTGGGCATCTCCAAATGAGAGAAACTACCCATCAGAGGAAAGCTAGAGGGTTCCAGCTGTATCTGATTTACTTCCTTTTTCAGATCCCCGAGGTTTTGCTTTGGGCAAAAGAGCAAAATGAGGAGAAGAGCCCCAACCTGACCCAGTTCACTGAGCACTTCAACAACATGTCCTACTGGTAAGAAAGGGCCTCAGCCGGAGCCCCATGTCTCTGATAGCAGCACCTCCAATAGGCATCTGTATTTTCCTTCACAGAGAGCCTTCCGTTCCTCCAAGCCCCATTCTGAGACCTGGTGGGCATTAATTGTGAACCGTAGGCAGCAGAGAGCAAGAGCAGAGACAGGATGGGCTCACTTTGCACGTCAGCTCTCATGAGTTGGAAGTGGCCACCTGGAGGACTGGTTGAGGAGTCCGAGGCTCAGCAGGGGAGGAAAGTGCCAGGATCGATTAGTAATGTCTGTCATAGATGGCAGGGGGTTAGGAAGACTGTTTGCCATCCTGCACTAGCTGTTGCCAGGCAGCTGTCAGGGCTCATCCTTACACTAAATCTGCCTGAAAGAGAAGAGCAGTTAGCAAAGACGTGGGTTTTATTAATATTTTATTTAGCCTTTAGTTCTTAAGGTGAATTGAAGCCCAAAAGTATATTTATAATTCAGAAATCTTAGCTCTTCAACGTGTAAATCAAAAGTGCCTGCAGCCTCATGACATTAAATAGAGGATCAGTCTGAGCTATCAGCCCCACAGCCTCAAGCTGCAGCAGAACCTGCCCTACTGCTGCCACCAGGGGAAAGGTCTGATATTTTCAAAGTGCTCTGAGATCTGCTTATTGGAGAAAAACAGGGTCATCTCCCATTTTCCCAGCTTTGTTCCCACCACAGGAAGCGCATCACTTGCTAAGCGTGCTCAGCAGTAGCAACCCATCATACAGTTTAGAGTTTTGCCCAATAGGATATGGTGGTTTCTAGGGCAGACTGAAACCACGCACAGCCCCTGAGCCTGGCCTCCAACCGCAGCCCCCAAGTTGAGTAAGGAAGCTCTGGCTGCACACCCCGACAGAGTGGGGCTGGCTAGGAGGAGGGGTGGATGTGGTCTTTTCAGAACCATGGTCCTCAGGGTATCCTTGAAGCAGGTGCCCTTTTACGGGGCTTATGGGACAAAGTGGAGGGCGGCCTTTCCCCTCAGTGAGTCTGTTAGTGGACCCCGTGAAACCAGGAAGTCTTTGCTGCACACTTGGCACAAACGATACAGGCCTTTGGTATTGGCTTTGGCTTTGGTTGCTGCTGCTGAGGGCAGCTTCTCAGAACAGCAGCCGTTCCCTCCCTTGTGGCTGGCCGAGATGCCCCTTTAATCCCCGTGCCAGCTCGTCTCCCCCAAGCCAGCCCTAAGGCCTTCTGAGTAGCTTTTTCTAGCCCCAGAGATGCCCAGGGTCACCGTCACAATTTGTCAGGAAAGACTCTGCCTTGATCCTCCACAGCCTCCCACTGTCTGCAGAATCGGGGCACCCCTGTTCATATTGTGTGGCGTTGGTCCCTAGATTTCTTCGTAGCACCTAGCCTCTGTCTCTGGGATGCTATAGGTTCCTTGGGAGCAGGGACTAGGTCTGCACTTGGGGCCCCGCACAGCTCTGGGCATCAGTGTGCAGGCTCAGGGCCAGCTGACACAGGTGTCGGACCTCAGCCCACCCCCTTCAGGACCACCAGTCAGCGTGGCTGTCTCTTCTTTTCCTCCTTGGTCTCTGCAGGGTCCGGTCAATAATCATGTTACAGGAAAAGGCCCAGGACAGGGAACGGCTGCTATTGAAGTTCATCAAGATCATGAAGGTAACTGTGGCCACTCCCTGCCCCGGGAGGCCCTGGGCCTATCTGGCCCTGCCACCTCCCTCACGAGGCCTTGTCTTCTCTCTGCAGCACTTACGAAAACTAAATAATTTCAACTCCTACCTGGCCATCCTCTCTGCGCTGGACTCGGCGCCCATCCGCAGACTGGAGTGGCAGAAGCAGACCTCAGAGGTGAGCTGGGGCCGGCCCTTCGTGCCCATGGGTAGAGAGGCCCACCTGGCACTCGGGCGAGCTGGCTGTGGCAGAAGGTGCTGGGACTAGAATAGAGTCCCTGCTCTGTCACCAGTCAGCTGTGCGGCCCCTGCCGTTGTTTCCTCATCTCTAAATGTCAGGTCTCAGAGGGGCTTCAGGGTTCACTGTGGAGCTGTAATGTCACAACTGGCCTATGCCACAAGACCGTACCTGAGTCCCAGCTTCACCTGCTTGTTCCTTGAGCCCTTGGTTCTGGAGGAGCTGATCTGGGCCAGGCACTGCATTGGGCATTGAGAACTCACAGTGAACAGACATCTAGTGGTGAATTCTGTGGGATAAGTACAAAAGAGAGGATGGAGGATTATGGATTAAACTGTGTCCCCAAAATATATGTTGTAAATCTGAACCTCTATGCCTATGGTTATAATTTCATTTAGGAATGGGTTGTCTTTGTTATAGAAGCCCTGGTGTTGCAGTGATTAAGCACTAAGCTGCTAACCTAAAGGTCAGTGGTTCGAATCCATTGGCCAATCCGCAGGAGAAAGATGTGGCAATCTGCTTCCATAAAGATTACAGCCTTGGAAACCCTATGGGGCAGTTCTGCTCTGCCCTATAGAGTCACTATGAGTTGGAATAGATTCTATGGCAGTAGGTTTGGTTTTGTGTGTTTGTTTTTGTCTTTTGTTATGTTAATGAAACTGGATTAGTGTAGGGTGTATCTTGAGTCAGTCTCTTTTGAGATATAAAAAAGATTAAAAGCAAGCGAGGAAGGAGAGATGGGGAAGAGAGATACCAAGCCACATGAAGATTGCCCAGGAGCATAAGCCCAAAGAGACAAGGACCTTCCTCCAGAACCGAGAGAAAGAGAAAGCCTTCCCCTAGAGCTAGCACCCCAAATTCAAACTTTTAGCCTCCTAAACTGTGAGAAAATAAATTTCTGTTTATTAAAGGCACCCACTTGTGGTGTTTCTGTTATAGCAGCACTAGATAACCAAGACAGAATTTGATACCAGGAGTGGGATGCTGCTCTAACAGATACCTGAAATATGGAAGCAGTTTTGGAATTGAGTAATAGGTAGGAGCTGGAAGAGTTTTGAGGTGTCTAATAGTAAAAGCCTAAGATTGGCTTGAAGAAACTGTTGGTAGAATTACGAATGTCAAAGGCAATTCTGGTGAGGGTTCAGAAGGAAGTAAGGAGAGCTATAGAGAATGTCTCTATCATCTTAGAAAATATTTATGGCACCAGCAACAGAATGTCGCTAGAAATGTAAAGGTTAAATGTGCTCCCGGTGAGGCTTTAAAAGAAAATGATGCACATGTGATTGGACAATGGAGGAAGGGTGATGCTTTTTATGCAGTGGCAGAGAACTTGTCTGAATTATGTTCAAATGTTTAGTGGAAGGTAGAACTTGTAAGTGATGAACTTGGATCTCTGGCCGATGAGATTTATAAGCAAGATCTTAAAGGAGCCGCGTGATTTCTCCTTGCCACTTAACGGTAAAATGCGAGAGGAAAGAGATGGACTTAAAAATGAACTGTACAAAATGAAAACAGTACTTAAAGATTTGGAAAAATCTGTTATGAAAACTAAGGACACATGTTCTAGAGTATTCACCAACAATGTGGCTACACAATCTTTTGTTAAAGAGATTAAGCCTGTGACTGATGGATCTAACCAACCACTATGGCAGAAAACCCATCAGCTTAGACTGAAAGGTACAGAGAAAGAACAAAAGGAAAGAATGCCATCTGCCTCTTGGAATTCTACAGATACGAAACAGGTCAAAGGAGATGCATCTGTTATTTATCCTCGAGGAAGAGAAAAGGACCATCCCTGGAGCAGTTCAGAGATCAACAGAACTGTTGAAGGAGCACAAGAAGCAGGGCCTTCTCAGTTTCAAAGGGTGGGGCCACAGCCTTCTAGGTTTCAAAAAGTCTGATCTTCGCCAGCTCAGTTCTGGAGCATGGGGCTGCCATTAACATGTACCAGGGGGATGAGGCTGCTGCCCAAAGCTGAGAGTACAGGGCCACCATGCGCAAGGGGCAGAAGAGCGGGTCCTGCTGGGGCCAAGAGGGTGGGGTTGCCACTCAGATGGAGTAGGAGAATGGGGCTGCCTATAGCCGAGGGAGCAGACTTGGCATCCCAGAGGACCTGGAAGGTGGAGTTGAAGCCCAGGGCCCAGGGTCCTCCACACAGAATCCAGAGGGCGTGACCAACACCCAGAGTCTAGAGGGCAGGGCCATTGCCCAGATAGTCTCAGAGAACAGAGGATTATTTTCAAGCCTTGAGAGCCAATGTAGTATGTTCTGCTGGGCTTTGGATTTGCTTGGTGCCTGTTATCCGTTCTTTCTCTCCAGTTTCTCCCATTTGTAATAGAAATGTCCAATGCTTTGGACCTGTTCCACCATTGTACTTTGGAAACAGATAACTTGTAGTCTAGATTTCCCAGGTGCACAGACAAAGAGGAATTTTGCCCCGGGATGGACTATACCTAAAGTCTCACCCATATTTGATTTTGATGATTCAGAAGATGAGATTTTGGACTTGGAGAGTTGATCTAAGACTTTTAGGATGATGTGATGGGGTTAATGTGTTTTGCATGTGGGAAAGACATGAATTTGGGGAGGCCAAAAGGTGGAATGTTATGGATTGTCCCCCCAAAATATGTGTTGTAAATCTTAACCTTTATGCCTGTGGTTATAATCCCATCTGGGAATGGTACCACTCACACCAAGACCTGAAAGATGAGGAAGGAGTTTCCTGGGAAAGGAATAGAATTCCTGTCCAAGGGGACAGAGGGATGCCCATACAGGGGACAGGTGGGAGCTTGGCACCCTCAAGGAGCGGAAAGGAGGCCATTTTGGCCACCTCACTGTGGTGAGAGGGCCAGTTCTCTGTTGCCAGGCCCTCAAGGAGCCTGTTGAGGAAGTGGGCCCTTTATCCTTATGTGGGAGGACGGTCCTTGAGAAGGGAGGCCAGGCCCGCTCTGCTTAGTGTCAGCTGAGCTACTCGGGTCATATCACTAGGCATACACAAAGAGACAATTATAAAACAGTGCCCTACAGAAAAGAGATACTGGGGAGACAGGAAGCCTTCCTAGAGGAGGTGGCATGTCATTGTAAGAGGGACTTAACAGGTGAAAAGGCAGGAGAGTGGTGTTCTGAGCAGGGGGCAGGATCAGCTTAGTCTCATAGGTGACTACATCCAGGAGGCGAAGGGCATTTAGCGCTACTGGAGGGCGAGGTTGTGGGCCGCAGGGCCCCTCAACACCTGTGGTTGACTGTACTTTGAGAGCAGTGAGGAGCAAAGGAAAGGCTTTGAGCCAGGAGTGGCCTGTTGCAGTTTGTTTTAGAAAGCTCACCTGGGCTGCAGGATGGAGAGTGGAGTGTAACTTCTTCACCAAGCAAGAAGCCCTTCTGTCAGTGTCTGCACACACTGTGGGTGCCAGTGATTCAGAGATGATTCTGGCCAAGCACAAGGAACCCTTGGAATATTTCTCCAGAAAAGGCCCTGCAGTCCCCTGCAGCCAGGAGTGCGGCTGACACCAGGGAAAAGAGCCCGAATTCCTGCTGGCCCGTGGACACAGCGCAGTCTGTCATGGTGTCACGTGTGTGGGCACTCAGTGAATGTAGGGTGGAAGGGTGATTGACCAGTTGGCCAGCGAGGAGGAGTGGGGCCCTGTCCACTGAGCACTGTCCCAGCACTCACATAACTTTGTCCTGACCAGGGCCTGGCCGAGTACTGCACGTTAATTGACAGCTCGTCCTCCTTCCGCGCCTACCGGGCAGCCCTCTCAGAGGTGGAGCCTCCCTGCATCCCGTACCTGTGAGTAGCTCCTTCCTTGCCCTGTCCTGCCACCCGCGTGTTTCTTGGGGGAATATATATTGGATTCCCTCAGAGAAACTCTCACTTAAGGGTTTTCATCTAAGATGTTTGTACTTTTATTTTTAACTCTAAAACTAAAACATGCTCCTTGTAGTACAATTTAAACAGAAACAAAGGGTCAAGTGAAAAAGTTCCTGTCTCACCTTTGCTTTCCAGACCTACTCCCATTTCCTTCTGTAATCTGCCAGGGAGCATGTTCAGGCAGTATGTGTGCAGCTGTCTAGCTTCTCTTTTCTTCCCCACAAATGGCATCATGCTATATTCCAGTGTTCCTCAACCTTGGCAGTCACCCCCAGGGAGCCCAAGAGCACTTGGTGTAAAGAAGGTCAGAGAGCATCTCCCAAAGTGTGGGCCTTGGCATGGAGTAAATACATGTTTCCTGGAAAAGGCTCCCATGGTCACATAAGCTTGGGCAACAGTGGAATAATCTAAGCTAAGCAGATTTCTTCCTTGTAGGACTTATCAGAGCCTTTAATATACTAACAGACATTGTGAATCTCCAAGAAGGGGATGGAAGATTCAGCCGTGTCCCTGGGCCAAGTGCTTGATGGAACATGTCTCAGAGTTGGGGCTGGCTTGGAGGTCTTCACTCTTGAAGACACTAATCTGCTTGTAGCCAATGCCCTCTTCTTGCTTTCTAGCTTGTTGCCCGCACTGAACTTTAACTTGTTTTCCCATTAGGGGATTGACATCTGGGGTCCTGAGAGAGTGTAACCCATGTCACTCAGGCTGAGCTCTCTCAGTGGAAGAGCTACTCCCACATCTTTACTTGTTTGACCTCACGTCGTTTGTATTTTAAAACAACTTACCCTACCTATGAATGAAGAGGGCCCCGCCCTGCCGGTTTTGGGTTCTACTGTTTTTTTACTGTTCATGTACTGATTTTACATCAGCTGCCCCAACTGTGCACACATACACTGCAGCCACATTCAGTTTGCTGGCACATGTGGACAGAGGCGTGAGGGCCTGTTCTGTAGCAGTTGGGGCCTTAGCAGCTCCTCTGAGGCCCTGGCCTGGCGTCCCAGGAATCCAGCAGGCCGTCATGGATCCAGAGTTCATGAATCGATCACTCACAGAGGAAAAAGCATGCAGCCTCAGCCCAGACTTGCCCTTTGGTTTTGGCAGCTGCTCAGGCCCAGCCCAAAGGACTAGGTCCTGGAGTTATTTGTTAGTCACTGGGCCTTCCTGGTGGCTCGGCCAGCCCTCTAGAGTAGTCACTGGGCTTCTCCATCCTCCCAGGGGGCTGATTCTACAGGACCTCACCTTTGTTCACCTGGGAAACCCAGACTATATTGACGGAAAAGTGAATTTCTCCAAACGGTGGCAGCAGTTCAACATCCTCGACAGCATGCGGCGCTTCCAGCAGGCGTGAGTGTTGCCCTTTGGGGGCACGGGGGGTGGGGGAGGCGTGGTGAGGGGGCACACCTGAACCCTCTGCTTAGGTGCATGGAGAGACAGCTCCTGAGGCATCTGAGCAGAGACGGGAAGTTAAAAAGGACCAAAGGGACTCTTGGTCTGTTCAGTGGGGATATGATCTCTGCTTCTTGGAGCTTTGTCAGCATTATATGAGGAAGTGCACTTAAAGGGCTCCACGCAGGATCTGGAGCAGGGCTAGGGCCCAGCGATGGAAGCTTCTCCTATCACCTCCATTTCACAGACCTGGAAACTGATGCCCCGTCTCATCACAAGGGGGAGCCAGCACACCCTGCTGCTTTACTCCCAGCAGAGCCCACCCTGTGTTGGGCTGCGTGTGCAGTGTGGGCCAAGGAGGCGTGGGCTCTCAGGGGCATGGTGTGCAGAGGGGAGCCAGGCCTCTTCAGAAGGAAGGAGCTCCAACAGGCAGCAGCCTTCCCTGTTCAGGGAGCCCAGCTGCAGGGGCACTGCTCAGGGGGGCGCTGTGGGGGGCAGTTGAGAGCACTGGCTTTGGAGTCCAGCTGGTGGTCTGGGTGCTAGTAGTTTCTGGTGCTAATTCCCTCCTCTATGAAATGTGGACATGAGTGGCCCCTGCCTCATCGGTTTGCTGTAAGGGTGCGCTGGCGTTCAGCACAGGCCTGGCTCAAGGGTCGTGTTCCAAGAGGGAGTCATCGTGAGGCTATTCCAGACCAAGTCAGATTAGGGACCAGGTGCCCCAGTGCAGTGGGTCAGAACTAGCCAGTGTCCTGCCCCATGCAGGAACCCCTCGACAGTCCTTGCTGTGAGTCCTGAGCTGGCTCAAGTTATCGCAGTAGTGCCTGACCTTGTCTGGGGGCTGGTCTCCAAGTGCTGCTCCAGCTCTTCTTACCATCCTCGCAGCAGTGCTTCAAAGTAGGAACCGCTTCCCATTTTACACAAGTGGGCAGTGGGTCCTCACAGCCGGGGAGTGGCAGAGCAGGGCTTGAGCAGGGGTCTCTGGCCCCCTCCACCCACACTGGCTCTCACTGACTGCCTCCCCTCCCCAGACACTATGACATCCGGAGAAACGATGACATTGTAAACTTCTTCAATGACTTCAGTGACCACCTGGCTGAGGAGGCCCTATGGGAACTCTCTCTGAAAATCAAACCCCGGAACATAACAAGGAGAAAAACAGACCGAGAAGAGAAAACCTAGGAACAGGTGTGTGAGCGAGGAGAATGCTCAAGAGACGCGCAGCGGGCAGCTCCGAGACCGGACGAGACTTTGGACCTGGTGCACGGCGGAAGTCCCTCTCCTCGAGCAGGCTGAGAGTATCTGGGCCTCGGAGCCCCAGGCCCGGCCAGGCCTCTGGTGTGATGACGGGCCCAGAGCCGGAGCCTGCTGGCAGCTTCCCACCCTCCCTCCTCTGCAGGAGCAGACCCTACGGCCCACAGAGGAGCCCACCTGGCAGGTGTTAGGACTGATTTGTGAACTGGTGGTTTCCTTATTTTTAATTTTTTCTGCTTTCACTTCTCTTTCCCTCTCCCCCTCCTGCCCACGCCCCTCCAGCCTGGGAGTGGCGCAGAGTTGGCATCAGCAGGATGAGGAATAGAGGGCTCCGCAGCTTCCCTCATCTGGCAGTCTGCATGTTCTGAGGGGACATGTGAGCAGAGGCTCAGCAGGACCCTAGGGGATAGCTGCCTTCCAGATGAGCTAGGGTGGAGGGAGACTCAGGGGTAGGCCAAGAGCAGAGAGGATCAGGGGAGGCCCCTTTCACTTTCCATTCTCTGCTTTCTAGAATGGAGGACGGTGTGCAGTTTCGCCTGGCCCAGAGAGGTGTGGCAGGTGGCGTTTCAGCAACCCCTCATCACGGTACTGGTTTTCAGAACTGTCCTGCTGCACCTATAGGCCGCCCCTTCGCTGGGTGGTGAGCAATGGCAGCCTCTGTCACCTTGTAGCACCTTAGCGTCTCCCCCACCCCACTCCATTGGGCCCCTCTGCCCGTAATTTCACAGTTTTCCATCAGCCACTTTCAGAAGTACTTTGGGGAGCTGGGAAGAAGAGGTTGGAAAAGGGAGGACTTTACCATCAAAGAAACACTTTTTTATTGCTGGGAGTCTTTTTAACTTTTCTGAGCTGGGCGGTAGCTGTTGGTGGGTTAATCCAGAGAGAGGGGAGCATGGAGGAGCATTTCTGTCCCGGGAAGAAGCCCGCAGACCCCCTCTTCTGTTGTGTCTGTTGCTTGCTGTGTGCCTTAAACTCTACCCTGTGCCCCCCAACCCCGGTCCCAGAGGCTTCCCTCTGACCTCACCCCACCCTGGGAGAGCCAGAATGGTTCCTCCTCAGCTCACCAGGCCTTTCTGCCAGTGCTGTCAGCTCTCCCTTGGGAAAGATGGGGCATCTCTGAGAGGCCAAACAGAGGCCCTTGAGGCCTGGCTGTGGAGGTGCCTCGGAGGCCAGCCAGCCACAGCCCTCCAACCAGTCTGCAGAGTTTCTTTCTCGTCTGGCAGAAGCAAGCATTTCCAAGAATAGGGGCTGTCTCCATCCGCCTAGTTAAAAACCATCCTCACTGCTGAGATTGACAATCCGAGGCTAGGTTTGCAAGGGGGACCCTGGGCCCACAGCGAGCCTTCCACGTCCCCTTCTGGCCCTCCATGCCAGCAAGAGGTGGGCCTCCGCCAGCATGCCGGCCGGAATCCAGATGTGCTGCATCTCATGTTGGGCCTTTTGCCTCCCTACCCCACCCCAGGTCCTTTTTTGCATGAACGAGTGCTCACTTCTCCTGGGTTTAGGACACGGTCAAGCGATTGCCCAGGATCTAACTGTGCTTAGCCCAGTTTAAACAGAACAAAGAAAGGGAGTAGAAAGTAACACCTGTTGACTAGAAGATTTTTTTTTTTTTTAAAGAAACAACCATGTCACCCTTGAGTCTTCTGTGGGGTTTTGAGCAGCTTTTATCAAGAAAAAAAGTTTGGGCAGGTTTTTTTCGTCTTTTGTGTTTTCCTGTATATAGAGAGGAAGAAATCTGTGAAATGTCAGTTGAAATCCACCTCTGGCGGCAATGCTGCCGGCTACAGGCCGGAACGTGTCACTTTATTATTTAAAGCGTGTGTGTGCGTGTGTGTGTGGAGTCACTCGTTTATTAACAGTATTGTGTGTAGGGGTTGGGTTTTAGGTTGTTTCCTCTTTTTTTTTTAAGTCCCTTCATTTCAGTCTTTCCCACTCCCTTCCCATCTTGCGTCCCGCCTTTTGCCCAGCTCTGTTGAATGCTGCTGTGTGTGTGTTCGCCTGTGTGTGTGTGTGCATGTGTGAGGGACGCTATGCGCACGGGACCCTGGGTTGTGCAAATTCAAATTCTCCTTGCGTTTTTGAGAACCCCTAGGAGTCACCTTCTATAGCACAGGAAATATGAATGGCTGTGTTTCAGCTTCAAAAACAGCCCGCCTACACCCATTCAGTAGGCTGACTCGTGTCCGCAGTCTTCACAGGCCATCTTGTTCGCTGTCAGGAGCTAGAAGGGGAAGGAGAGCTCTTCATCTGCTTTAATTCAGAACAGACCTTGTGCCTGTGCAGAGGCCCTGGGTCCGCCCCTCCCTGGGAGCCCGTGGGGTCTGAGTAGCCATCTAGGCCCCAGGCGGCAGGCCTGGGTGGGCCCAAGCTTGACTGGCTGTGCAAAGATGGTGAGGTGTAACGTGTGTGCGTTAACTTATTGGCTGACAAGCTTCCCCGCCCTGTGCCTCATTAAAAGACGCCCTCTTGGCTCTGGCAGTTGCCAAATTCCACTGCTCAGCGCTGCAGCCTTGGCTGTGATTTGTCAGTTTCTTGGGTTGTGGGGGTGTGGGAATCAATCTTTACAGACAGACCTGCTCAAGATCATTTGGTTCCCTGTAGAAAAAGTCAGTTCTCACCTGGCAGGTGTGGGGGAAGCCAGGGAAAGGGTAGGCACACCCATGTCTAAATTGAACCCCAATTCCAAGAAGCATCTCCCTCTCTGGCTGTCCCCCACCCTTCCCAAGTGTTACACTGTAATATATATCCCCCAACTAACCCACCCAATAGTGGCATCTTCCTGCAGACATTTCAAACGTGTAACTTTTATATGAGAAAATAAACACAGATGAAAGCCCCTCCCCGCCTGGTGACCGTGTCTGCCCTGCAAGCAGCATGTGTGCAGTTAAGGGACAGTCCACGGTGCCTATGCTGGCCTCGCCTCTCTCACCTTCTCAGGCAGCCCAGGGGCACAGGTGCTGCTGGCCAGAGAAGGGCAGTGGCCCTGGAGCAGAAACAGCAGTAGGACCCAGCCCCCTGGCTCCTCTATGCAAGGCATTCGTTCTCGTCCCCAGTAGGACCCAGCCCCCTGGCTCCTTTGCGCAGGACATTTGTCCCAGTCCCCAGACCCATTGCTATTGTCAGGGTAGAGTGGAACAGATATCACCAGCATCAGCTCCTTTCCAGAACTTTTTCTCCTAGGTCGCATGTGCTGTAGAAGTGGGTTGATGCATAAGAGTTGTACCACCACCACCACCACCCCTGGCATCCTGATGAAAACTTGCATTTCTAAGGGTGGAATTTCAGGGGGCACAGGTTGTCTAGAGCTGCCTTGCAGTGCCCCTAAATTTCTGTCTTTGAAAGTGTACCCACAGGCAGTGCTCAGAGGCTTGGGCCCAACTTTGCCTGTTGCTTTCTGGGGGTTCGAGCTTCCCCCTTTGCTCTGGTGCCCCTGGCTGCAGAGGGGCCGGTGCAACTGCGCTGCACAACAGGCTGTTTGCAGCCTGGAGGTGACCCCTGCTGAACTCAGCTGGGGCTGCTTAGCCGGGGCCAGCCTATATGCCAGAAAGCAATGGAGCCCCCTGCACTCACATAGACCAAGAGAGGCCCATAGGTTCTACTCCCTTCTCTGCCTTGAGGTAACTGTTTTCTCCTCTGCAGGGGGTAAGCTGGTCTCCAGGTCCGCCCAGCTCTGGGAGGCCGTTGTCATCATTTCTCTTTACCAGGCTGGGAGGTGTCCTTCCAGAGCCATCCCAGATACCAGTCACCCCCCTGTCCCCCAGCACCACCCCCAGCACCTCTACTGCAGTGAGACCAAGTACCTGAGTCTCTGCACCTAGGGGATGGCAGGGGGTCGAGACAAAACCCTCTGGTATTCCACCCTGGCCCCCAGGCCCAGGCTTTCAGCCCTGCGGAAGGTGCCAACAGGGCAGCCCAGGAAAGTCAGGCAGCCCCACAGCTCTACCCAGGCAATGCGTGAGGCTCAGAAAACGGAACCTGGCAGAGAAGGGGGTGGTGACTAGAAGGCAGCGTCTCCCTTCAGATCCTACCATGGAGCTGGTGGCTGCTTTAGGTGGCCTTCCCTCAACTATCCTTTGAAGTGGGGGAAGGGGCAGGTATTCCTGGGTGGTCACACTTATTCATCCTTGAGCCCCACATTAGCCTGTGGAGTGCGCTAAAAGCCTTCCTGGTTCTCCCATTTGCTAGCTCTGTCCTTGGGCAAATTGCTTAACCACTTGTTCTTCAGTTTCTCCCATTATTTACTGTTGTCCTGTTTGACCAATGAGCACACCAAGGTGCAGAGAGAGAGACCAGGTGTTCCCGTGTCCTCCACTCCCATTTCCCCCACCAGCCAACAACATCAAGAACCAGGCTGATCTAGCCCCAACACTTCCCCAGAGAGGTGACAGGCCAGGCGGGGACCTGTGCTTTCCAACCAGGGCCGCAGGACGAAGCTGCTGCAACTCAAACCCTGGTGTTCCGTAACTGGGGAGCCGCTCGGAGGTGGGGGAAGAGTATCCAGGGCCCAGGAATCTGTATGCTTAGCCAGCGACCCAGGAGGCTTGGATGGGTGTGTGCCTGGACCCAGGACCACAGCAGTGTGGCCTCCAGGTGAGGAGACCCCAGTGGCACTGCCACACGAAGGGGCTGAGCTGATGGTCCCATACGTGACTTCCCTTCTCTGTTCCACAGCGTCTACCTCATAAGCTCTTGGGAAGGTTCAGTTAGGTGACCCCTGGGGCAGTGTCTGGTGAGCTGTGGCCACCAGTACAGCTTATTGAGCACTTCGCCAGTAGCTTCACCTCACTCAGTTCTCTTAATCAGACAACTGCACAAGTGAAATATTACAGCCATGATAGGTGTTGAAAAGAGGAGGCTCTTAACACTGAAGAAATTAAATCTGAGCTTGAAATCCACCCACAGACATCAGACAGGTTTAACAGGTAGTTGTGGCAAACACTCAAGGAACAAAAAGGTCATTTCAATCTTACACAAACTCCCCCTGAGAACAGAAAAAGGCAAAACACTTCTCAACCCATTTTATGTGTCAAATATAACCTTGACATCAAAACCAGACAAGAACAGCACAAGAAGACCCACAGGGCAGTCTTGTTTATGAATACTGATGGAAAACTTCTCAAATAATTTTAGCAATCCAAAACCAGCAACCAAGTTGAGTTTCTCTCACAAATGCAAGGATGTTCGTGCTTCCCTGTGTCAGGTTCCTCTCTTCCTGGGCACGAGGGAGGCTGCACTTCCCAGCCCCCTTGCAGTTAGGTCTGTGAAATCTGAGGGACAGACATACCTGTCACCTTGTCCCGGGGATTTAAGAACTGGTACACCGCCTCCATGCTCATTCTTTCCCTGCCCTGGCACACTCAGAATCCAGGGATGGAGATGGCAAGAATCCCAACGGGAGGGAACCGGGACGGACACTGGGCTTTACGTGAAAGAAAAATGATCTCTTGTGCTAAGCCACTGAGATTTCAGGGTTTATTTTCACAACATAGCCTAGACTCTCCTGAATATACCACATTAATAGATTAAAGAAAGAAAACAATATGATCACCTCAATAGACACAGAAAAGCCTTTATTAAGAGGGCAACACCCATTCATCATTTTTTAAAAAAGGAACTCTTAGTTAACGAGAAATAGAAAACGTCCTTAATCTGATAAAGATTATCTTCGAAAATCCTCTGCAAACATATTTAATAGTAAAATATTCAAAACATTCCCTTTAAAGTCAGCAGTAAGGTAAGGATCCCGTCCACTACCACTATGTTTGTTCATTGTTGTACTGGAGACGCTAGGCAGTGCTGTAGGAAAAAAGTAACCAAGACATAGAAAATTTTGTCAAGGTGGCTGGCTATAAAATCAGATAAAAAATTAAACACATTCTAATATACAATCAACAAACAACTAGAAAATGTAATTCTTAAAAGATACCATTCGTAATAGTCTTAAGGTACTAGGAATAAATCCAACAAGAGATCTGTGAGACTTTTATAGAAAAAAGTTGTAAGACTATTAAAAGACATTAGA